TCTGTATGGGGTAGAGTTTATCTATAACTCTCTATGGGGTAGAGTTGCTCTCCCACTCTGTATAGGGTAGAGTTGCTCTCCCACTCTGTATGGGGTAGATTGCTCTCCCACTCTGTATGGGGTAGAGTTGCTCTCCTACTCTGTATGGGGTAGAGTTGCTCTTCCACTCTGTATGGGGTAGAGTTGCTCTCCCACTCTGTATGGGGTAGAGTTGCTCTCCCACTCTATATGGGGTAGAGTTGCTCTCCCACTCTGTATGGGGTAGAGTTGCTCTCCCACTCTATATGGGGTAGAGTTGCTCTCCCACTCTGTATGGGGTAGAGTTGCTCTCCCACTCTGTATGGGGTAGAGTTGCTCTCCCACTCTGTATGGGGTAGAGTTGCTGTCCCACTCTGTATGGGGTAGAGTGCTCTCCCACTCTGTATGGGGTAGAGTGCTCTCCCACTCTCGCTCGTGGGCTTCATCAGGGGCGCTCCGGTTCTCTTCCAAATGTATAAACATTAACCTAAAGAACTGCAGATCTTAGGCAAATGTTGATAGCGCTGGCTCACTGGCTGGGCAGCTGCCGGTTTCCCGTTTTTTTCTGCGGTTACTCTGCGATTGTGAGATGTAATTTGCATGAACGATGACTCTACTTCTCCATATCTCCACATATATAAAAACTAAAATTCATATTTTGTTATGATTATACTGCTGGGTAGAGAAAAACGCGGAGGATGGGGGGGGGGGGGGGGTGAGCGAATTTAGAACCTAGTCTAGTTTTTTTTTTCTGCCGGGGAATTGAAACCAGCGAACTCTAGCCCAGTGTACTCATAGCTAAAACAAAAGCAGTAGTCGTAATGTTTGGTCGACATACAGGGTGCTTAAAAAAATGTTAACACTTTTTGGAACTATTGTTTTTTTTCATGGAAAAATAACGGATAATACACGTTAACATGATAACAAATGTAATGTTAATCGCTTCAAGGAGTCGAAGAGTCTCCACTTGTCCGCCATCGTTGTCAACGCTGGCCTGGAAACTTTTCCAGGCGGTCTCCAGAGCCCAAGGGCCGTACATTACTCGTGGTGTTGTTGCAGATTCTCAAAAGTGTTAAAAACAAATTTTGAAGCACCCAGTATAACACTCATGTTCAGTAAATGCTAACATCGTACCCGGTTAACGCATGCCATTCATAGCCCCCCCCCCTACGCCGTGCTTTTTCACATCGAAAAATGCCTTAACTTAAAACATTTCTGGTTCCTGCTGATAAGGACTGTGGAGTGGGGGGGGGGGGGGGGCGGGGGGGGAGTTGGGTAGGTCGTTGCCTAAGAGCCGGCGACCATAAGCAGAATGAGTCGAAAGAGTTTGCTGCTGCAGTGAGCTCGCTATCCGTTTTGCACCTGGTCTCGAGAGTGTGTGTGTGTGTGTGTTGAGGAGTCAGGGAGCAAGTGAAGCCATGCATCTGTACCTGCCACCACTACTTCTGCTGCTCACCTGTGCACGTCTCTCGCAAGGTAAAGCGCGAAACGCAGCGGCTTCGTCACCTTCGCTCGCAAAGACAAACATCGCCCGTATCTCGTCTGAACAGAACTGTTTTCGGGCAAGTGCTGTTAAGCATAGCAACCTGTGAAGGCCGGCAGGGCACACGAGTGCGGGGTGGGTGGCCAGCACCACGCCCGGTCGCCTTTGTCTCCCCCCCCCCACCCCCCAGCGCCGATGTTTTTTTTTACCACACCGCAGTGGGTACTCATTTAAGGCTGAGTCGACCTAGGGGAGGCCCAAGACAGGTTTCAGATAATGTTCACTGGCGTTGGCCTTGAGGGGGGAAACCGAACTTGGGTGGACGGGTTCGTAGGGCAACGACCTCACCACTCACACACACGCACACCACTCACACACACGCACACGTATAATGTTAGATTTGTTATTATTATGCAGGGTGATCCATTTACACTCAATTGATTGTGAAGAGGAGACTTGAGCTGGTTAAGAAGGATCTTTATTTCGATTTAAAGCTTTTGTGACTGAAGGGATTCATATTCTTGGTTCTTTCAGGAAAGTCAAGTAGAAGGGAATAATAAATAATAAAAATTAGCAACAAAATTATCAAGACGTTTCGATTACAACACAGCAATCATCATCTGAGAATTGTATTGTTTAATTTTTATTACTTTATTATTTTTTTCTACGTGACTTTACCGAAAGAACCAAAAATATGGATTTTTATTTTCGAGGCAAACTCACACCACGCTTCCACACTCGTCATCAAAAAGCAACCACGAACCCCTCCAACTCCGTCCCTTTAATAACCCCGTCTCCCCCCTTTCTGCGAAAATTCCCTTCTCGGTTTTTCCCACCCTTTGTTCATCCTTCTCGCACCACTCCGATCAGGATTTGTCCTCCACTCAATCGTCGCATTGTGTGCCGTGCACGTCAATTGCCCCCGCGACCCCTTGACCCTTAATCCGTGGTTGCGTGGCGTTTGTGTGTGAGGATGTCCCGACCATCCTCTACAATTGTAGAGGTGCGGGCACCTGCCCAATGTACCTTCTCGGGCAGCTACTGGCGGAAACGGCCAACTCTGGGGGCCGGCTACTTTGGCCTACACCTTAAAAGTGGGCCAAACGTTTATTTTTTTTGCCAGAGAGGAGGAGAACCCCAAACTTTACATCGCCATACGCGACCGGCTAGCCGATCGCGGCCGACTGGGTGTGGAGTGAGTGCATCATTTATTTTGCTGGGTGGATAGAGGAGAGAGTGAGGGTTCGGGGGGGGGGGGTGGATTTAAGAAACTTACCCCCCTTGTTTCAACTGCCGCATTCCGACTTTGATGTAAAATAAAAATAGGTGATGCGATAAACTGCGTCTATTTGTTTCACCTATTTAGTTATTACTCTTTGGTTATTTCGGTAAAAGTCACGTAGGCATAAAATTAATCACGACGTTTCGGGCGCCAACACAAGCGTCCATCGCCGACGGAGTTTGACCGCTGTACATTCTGGTGTCATCAAGACATTCCATAGCGCAAGGGCCCCCATTCTCCTTGGCCATATTTAAATACACTTATCGTTACGATAAATGACGTTTAACATTTAGGTGTTTTTATTTGAAACGGCTGCCCGCAAAATGAGGGAGAGACTAAGCGAAAGAGCCACCACAGGTTGCTGACTCCTGGTTGTACACCCTAGCTGCCACTGCTATTCATTGGCGTAAAATAAAATGTTTCGCTCCGGATGACGCTGCAAAGTATTATCTGTATTTGATTTAGCGTGCTGATCTTAAAGGTGCATTGAAAAATTTGATACTCCGACTGATGCTTCTGTTGTTGTGGAGTAACTCATGCAGCCAGCTATGGCTTTAGGGTTTGGTGTTACATGTTATTTATGTAGTTTATTGTAAAAAATTCGGTCACAGTCCCTATGATCACTGTTACATTGCAATTATGGATTTATTTTTTGGTGATTTAGAAAAGTTTTTTGGTTTGGACAGGTTTGTTTTGTTGTAGTACGGAGTTAGACTGATGGCCTTAATCTAAGTTTTCTTGTGGTTGTTGTTGTTGTTGTTTGACTTGCATCCCACTGGGATTTTTTGCACACAGCGTTGGTGTACGGTGCTTTTTCAGGAATATTTTGCTGTTTTTTTTCATGGATTTTCTGTTTGCACAGTCACACATAGTCACTTTAAGATGTTTTCTTGTTCGTGTTTTTGTTTTTCGTTTGTTGTGATTGCACCCGAGTCAAGAGCCGAATGGCTCACAGGGCTATACCAAATAAATAAAATAAATAAAATAAAAGAAATAGATAAAACTGACTGTCCCAAAGGCACACGAAGAAAGGCGCCTGCGTGACAAGTTTGCAAGTCTCGTGGAATTTGGGGCCACACACAAAAATAAACATTTACACGTCATAATGCACAGAGAGGCCGGGTGTACAACGGAACGATGTTATATGCAAGGAGCTGACAATTTGGTACTGATATTATTTGAGTCCACGCCAAACAAGACGGCTCGGAGTTTGATTAGTTTCAATCAGGGGTGCAGAGTCATCCCAACGTCCTAAATGGCCTGGAGTCTCTTCGCTAATCACTTACAAATATTACGATCCAAATATCGTCAGCCATCCGAGTAATTGCCTCATGTAGCGTACGGAGCCTAAACCGATAGGAAGCACGTACATACGAAAGAATTGAAACAATCAAACACTATAGAGTACTACAAGTACACAATTGTGTATTTTAACCATCAGCAAAAACAATAAAAATGCTGAAGTGCAGATGTAGACGTTTCTTACGGTGTATTTCACCCCACAGTTGATGACATCGACTTTTATAAGTTGCGTTCCCAATACTTGAGATTGTTTAATTATTTGTCTGCTATAAATGTTCACGTGACGATAAGCCACTTTGTTGAGCTATCATTTGCGATGGCCAGGTCGCTTCTGAAAAACTGCTATATATGCTCAGTGGGCCTTACCTGGTAAGATATACAATAACTTAATTTGTATATTTTTAAGTTATTTGTTTACTTTTTCCTATACTTTGTAACTACAGTCGTGATTTTGTACTGTTTGTTGTTGTAAAGTTCTTACCCGCCCCCACTGGACATCTGTAAAAAAGCTTATAGCTCATCGGATTCCTTTCGGATATTCTGATTTGAATCATGGGGCACTTTAGAGAATTCCCCAATTATGAAATTCTGACATTTGTGAGCTGCTGGCACTGTGAACAAAACTGTTTTTTATTCACTCGGTAAAAACGAGGTCACCCATCCAGTCATTCATTCATCCCATTAACTTACCGATTCATTCACTTACTCACCCTATCCTGCCTCACTCGTTAATTCACTGACTCAACGGATTAATTCACGTCTCATTCACTCACGCATTCACCCACTCACTCATTCACTCACCGTTACATTCCCCATCCACTCACTCCTAACCATATTCACTCACTCGTACATATTGATGATACATAATCCTTGTATTGCACAGTCGCATGCACGATACAGAGATAATGATCCCCAATGTGGTTCTACAGACCTCACAGGTAAGTGCTGTTAGTGAGCTCCCATTAAGGACACATTGGAATAGAATTACGTGTGGTTTCCAGAACCACTTTTGACCGCCTTTGTCTCTCCAGTGCTGATCTTCATACACTTCTACACTTGTCAGTATTCAGGACAGGTTCAAATATATTACTAATGTTAGCCATGACTGGAAGTTGAACCCAGGTTACTGGGTTTGTAGGCCACTTTCAAAGACAAAGATGCCCGTATAGCCTTGACAGACTTTTTGAGGCAAGTGCTGTTAGCGAGCATTTATGGAGGTCGGTAACAGCACGCGAGGAGGTGGGTGACCAGCACCACGCCCGGCCGCCTTTGTCTCCCGAGTGGCTATATATTGACACCCCTCACCAGGTACTGCACTCGTTTAAAACTGAGTCGACCTAGGGGAGGCCCCGGACCGGTTCAGATAATTGTCCCGAGTGTTGGCCGTGAGTGAGTTCGATTCCCGCTCACGGCCAACACCAATGACTATTATTTAAACCAGTCCTGCATCTGGTGAGATGTGGAAGCATCGCCAATGGGGAGACAAAGGCGGCCGGTCGTGCTGCTGGCCAACCACCTCCTCGCGTGCTGTGCCGACCTCTGTAGGTGCTCGTGAACAGCACTTGCCCCAAAAAGTATGTTAAGGCTATACGGGGATCTTTGTCTTGATTTTCTATCATCATCATCATCAGCCATGGTCAAACTAAAATAATAATAATAGGGAGAGCAGAGATAAGGGCAATGTGAGTGGTCCGTAGATTTGTATGAAAACGCATGGAGTTATAAGCGACATCAAAAACTAATCTTTTTTTTTGCACATCGTAGTGTCACATTATTTAAAAGGCAGATGCCTGTGCAGTGCGACTCACGACCTGCCCTCGACACCAAGATCCAGGACTTGTCACGGCTATGCGCCGCTTCTCGGTGGCTGCCTCCACAGTCTGGAGCGCCAATCCCTCTGCACATTTTCAGCAGCCTGACTTTCGAGTGACTCTGAGCTTGGCTCCGCGCCTCTGAGTTTATCGGCCGTATCCGCTATTTTTTGTGCGCGTTACGAATTGCATTATCATCATCATTAATCAATCGCCCCAATTGACACGCACCGCGCATCGATAAGCCGGTGCCCCCCGTTAAGCGTTCGAGCCGCCGTGGGCCCGTTGCACAACTCGCGAAGGAGGAAACTCAAGAGGCGTGCGGTCACTGTCACTCCACGGCAGCTGTCGACACAGGAAACAGCCGTCCACGTGTGGTCCGCATTGCGATGGCAGCGTGCACAAGAGACGCGATAATAACAAGCGTCGCCGTTGTCCACCTCGTAATTATTATCCATCATCAACCATCACTGCCATCAACCATCATTTGGAGTTTGCGTGTCTCTCTCTCTCTCCACGCGGTCACGTGCAATTTTCTCCGGGTCCTCCGGTTTTGCCCTTGCTCGTTTAGAATCAACGTCAACGCGTTTCGAGTATTTGGCTGCGATGCATTGCCACGTGATAAGCCACTTTCGTTGAGCTATCGTTTGTGGCCAGGTCGCTTGTGAAAGAGAGCTACCTAGCTCGAGCGGGCCTTACCTGGTAAAATAAAAAAGGAGTTTAGTTTTATTTTTCGATTTAAAGCTTTCGTGGCTGCAGGAATTCATATTCTTGGTTCTTTCGGTAAAGTCGCGTAGAAGGGAAACAATGAAATAATAAAAATATAAAACAATAAAATTCTCACGATGTTCGATTGCAACACAAGCAATCATCATCAGGTGTGAAAACCACAGCATGAAATGTTTCAATTTTTTCAAAATTTTCATGCTGCGGTTTTGACACCTGATGATGATTGCTTGTGTTGCAATCGAAACGTCGTGATAATTTAATGGTTTTATTTTTATTACTTTATTATTTGCCTTCTACGTGACTTTACCGAAAGAACCAATAATATAGTTTAGTTTTAGTTTACCGTCATCGTAATTCTAGTCCATCATCAAATCAGCATATTAATTAATCTCATTATCGTCAATCATTATAATTCCTATAATCATTGACCTTCATCATATAGCATCATCATCATCATCGATATCATCAATTGTCTTTATTCCCTTAACCTAAAACAGCCTCTGAAGTGTCAGGACTCTCTGTACGGAGGGCTCTGCTACATTGGCATATTTGGCCAATTCGACAACTGAGTGAGTGGCTTCTCGCAAGAGAAAACCGGAGAAGCTGGAGAAAACTCCACCAAGAGTTGTCCGGGAGTGATGCCCACAGACACGGCCACACACACAGCCCAGCTGATTTGTGAGTTTCACAAATCTCGGCCCGATCCAGCAAAAACCATTTCCCCTAAAGGCACCGGATCACCGGCGTCTGTCACCATCACGCCAAGCTTACCGTCATCACCACCTGCGCCGCGATCATCATCACCACCTGCACCACAATCATCATCATCATAACTCCTCACCTCATCGCCTATCACCATCACGCCAAGCTTACCGTCATCACCACCTGCACCACAATCATCATCGCCATATGCACCACAACAATCATCATCATCATCATCGTCATCAACTCCTCACCTCATCGCCTGACGTCATAGCGCAGAGGGAAGTTGTCAAAGTGCTCAACCGTATGCGAGTGTTGTTACGCGTGAGACATGTGGTCACACAAGCTGCACTTGCTCAATGACGGTGGTGAAACCTCGCGGAAAAACGCGCGTCCTGCGCGCCGATGCGAAGCCACCGCGCGTCCTCTGCACCACGCCCGACCAGCTCTTTTGTCTCCCAAGTGGCGACGGTTTTTTTCCACACCGGCACGAGGTACCCATTTGAGGCTGAGTCGACCCTGGGGAGGCCCAGCACCGGTTCACATAATCGTCACCGGTGTTGGCTCCTGAGCAGGAATCGAACTCTGGTCGCTGGTTTCGTAGCGCAGCGTGCTAACCGCAACGCTATCGCGACAAAAGACAAAGATCCCCCGTATAGCCTTAACAGACTGTTGGGGCAAGTGCTGTTAGCGAGCACCTATGAAGGCCGGAACTGTACACGAGGGGGTGGGTGGCCAGCACCACGCCCGACCGCCTTTGTCTCCCCAGTGGCAATGTTTACACACGCACCAGGTACTCATTTGAGGCTGAGTCGACCTAGGGGAGGCCCGGGACCGGTTCAGATAATCGTCACTGGTGTTGTTGGCCGTGAGCGGGAATCGAACCCGAGTCGCCAGGTTCGTAGCGCAGCGCGCTGCCCGCTACACTACCGCTATGGCAACACACATGTATACACAAACACATACACAAACTATCGAGGTCTGGGTGTAATTATTTGACCTGTAGGTATAAAGTTGCGGACGTAAAAATGTTTTTTGTTCCTACACCGCAGGAGAGTGGGCACGCGTACTGGCGCGTAGATTCTATCGGCTCATTTCTTGCACCAAAAAACACACACACGCATATTAAATTATGATTTAAAGCTTCCGTGACTGCAGGAATTCATATTGTTTGGGTCTTTCGGTAAAGTCACGGAGATAGGGTCAAAGAAAATAACAAAAAAAAACGAAAGCTACACCTGAAGACGGCCGCTTGTGTTGCAATAGGAACGTCGTAGTTTTTGTTTTTGGATCGTTTTCTTTTAACCTATCGCCCGAGTGGCGATGTTTACACACCGCACCAGGTACTCATTTGAGGCTGAGTCGACCTAGGGGAGGCCCAGCACCGGTTCAGATAATCGTCACCGGTGTTGCCCGTGAGCGGGAATCGAACCCGTGTCGCCAGGTTCATAGCGCAGCGCGCTAACCACTACACTATCGTTCCCCAACACACACATACATACATGTACACGCACAAATAAAGATCTCCTTTTTGCCTTAACAGGCTGTTGGGGCAAGATCTGTTAGCGAGTCGACCTATTGTTTTTGGCCTTTAGTTTATTGTCCTTCCCCCCTCACTTCCGATGAGCGCGGTTGGCAACGTACGATGCGCAAGATAAGTTCAGTGTACACAGGGACGTCTGTGGAAAAAAGCTTCATAGCTCATCGGATTCCTACGGTATGAATTAAAAACAAATGGTGAGGTGAGGGCGAGTAGAGGGAGTGAGAGGCACTCTTGACCACCGGAGTAAGCTCGCAGGAAACCAAACAGGTCTGCAACGTCGCAGATTTTACTCACCCCCGACAGGATTTGCTGGGTGTGCTTAGGGACATTCAAACCATTGGCCTAGCCCCAAGCGGCAATCAGTTACGCAATCAGCGTGATTACCGCGCGGCATTCACGCTGAGGCCCTGTAATTACGATTGCACAAAGTGACAACACACGGTTAGGGTTCACCGTTGAGCCACGGTCTATCCACTGCTGGGATGAACGCATCCTCATCGTGATAATTAAAATTACAATATGATCATGAGCCGATGGATGAGACGGTCTCTCAATCACTACGATCTCAATGATCGCGAGCCGTGGTCTATCCACTGCTACATCAAGGTCTCCTTATCATGGCCATCATGGTCATCATGAGCCGCGGACTACCCACCCGGGTGTGAAGGCCTCGCCACGCCGCCACCATCCATCACGGGCCTGCGATGCCGCTAAACATTTCACTCCCGTACATGAGTCCCCACTTTGATGCGCTGCCTTCTCCTGGCAATGTAACATTTGCGCGATCCACCAAACATCGCTGCCTCCACACTGCCTGCATTACAGGCCACGTGCCATCACCACCACCACGATGATGATGATGATGATAATAATGATGGCATGATCGCCACGATGGTAAAAGCGACATTGACGATGTCAATGATGATGATGACTGATGAAGACCGCAATGATGATGGCGACGATAACAACAACAACGTTGTTTGGTTATGATAATGATGACTGCAACAACAATGCTCAGAACGATGATCACGATAACAACACTGACCATTGATGATCATGATAATGTATGTGATGATGACCACAATGATGATAATGGTGATTGTGATGCTTGATAATTGTGATCACCGTGACGAGGATGACAGTAATGATGATAACAACGACTGACTGATCAAGCGACTGATGATGATGATGATGTTATAATGACATCGATTACCACGAACGATAACCGGCGATGATGAAAATGACAACAACAACAACAAACAACATCGATGGTGACGATGTGTATATGTTGAACTTCTTTCGCACCGTACCCAACCGTGCTAATCGGAGGTGCGGCAGAAGGGCAACAAACTAACACACATAAAAAAAACAAGGTCTTAAGGAAATCCGTTCTTTTTTTTATTTTGACGATGACGACATTTAACCCCGACGATTATCAACCCCGAAATCCCGCAGCGAGACACGAGGCCACAAAGGTCACGTGCTCCGAGCAGCAGGAGGTCACCCTGCAGTGTCCCCTCCCGCCTGGGCGGGAGTCCGCGGCGGCTCACGCTCAGCCCGTCCTCTGGTTCATTGGCAGCGGGCTGAACGGGTCGTGCGCGCACCCCGACTACGTGGAGAGCTTCATGAAAGGGGGCCATCATCGCCAGGTGAGGGGTGGTGGTGGTGGGGGGTCCACAAAGGCCGTGTCAGAGACGCGAAGCTGGTCGGCAACGCCACCACCGCGTTGGGTAGCAGTTGTCAGTGCCACCGCACAAAGGGCTGGACCCACTGAAGGTGGGAGCGTTGAGCCAACGCTGGGCAAAACACCTTGGCATTCCCGGCCAATGCAATGTGTTTTTTTTGCGCCACGGTGGCGAGACTTACATTGTAAAGGTTGTGGATTTGCTCTCCAACACACCAGTGTGCTGTACTGGTAAAGAATTGGCATGTTCTGTTTACGTGACAGACATCTTACTAATTTGCTGTGTTGGGTGGTGGCGGGTTTTTATCGGCACATTTATATTTTCACGATCTAATTCCCCAAAAAAACCTGTTTTATGGAGACTTACACTCCTTGGTCAATCGACTGCTGGATAAAGGCAATGGCAGTTGTGGGGAACATACTTTGGCATTGTGGGCTGGGCGCCACGGTGGCTATGAGATGTTAACTACCTCGCTTGGCACACAGGAGGCCGTGGGTTCGATCCCAACCCTGACGCCTGCTGCTATATATTTGGAGTTTGCCCGTCTCTCTCCCCGTGGTCGCGTGGATTTTTCTCCGCGCCCTCCGGTTTTTTCCATCCACATTTTGAATCAACATCGCGCGTTTAGAGTTTTTGGCTGCAACAAATTTCCACCTGATTTTCGTTGAGCTATCGTTGGTGATAGCCAGGTCTCTTCTGCAAAAGAGCTATGTATATCTCAGTGGGCCTTACCTGGTCAAATATTTTTTTTTTTAGTGTCAAACCACATGCCAACATTGCACGTTTCACTGCGCATGGTCTGGATGGCATGAGGCATCGTGGAAAGGTGCGGGGTCGGATTTGACAGAAGGACTCTTGGCTGTTGGGAGGGGAAAGGTGGGGGGGGGGGGGGGGGGAGCACGTGGATGACAGGTAGGGCGGGGGGGCGTGGTTATGAATGATGAGGGTAAAGACGATTGCCATTGGCACGTTCAACTCACGCGTCATAGGAGAAGTCGGTGGGCCGGCTGTCTCACTTCTCCTGGCTGCTCGAGACGATGACGCCGACGACGTACCGCACGTTGAACTTCTTTCGCACGCTACGTAGCCAACCGTGCTCATCGATGACGACGACGATGACGCTCACCTCGCCAGGCCCTTTTCGACATCAAACACCACCACTTCATCCCGGACAACCATCGGACGAGCTTGGGACGCAGCGACGACGGTTCGAGCCTCACGCTCTCCGTGCGAAACCTGCGGGCGTCCGACTCTGGCCACTACTGCTGCGCGAAACGCGTCCACCGCCACGGCCACCCGGAGGTGCCCCACGCGGGGACAAAGGAGACACCACCCAACGGCACCCAAAATCCCGCGAGCGCGACGCTAACGCGGGCGCATCGCCGAGACAAGACGGGGCTCACCCCTACAACGTGCTGAGCATCACGGAGCTGCTCGTCACCCAAGGTGGGGCCCGCCCGGTCCCGCAGAGGTGGCCGCGACCAGGCGGTTCGGCGACACAATCTGTCGCCCGGCCTGGCCGACGTGCGGCGCTGCTGCAAGCGCTCGTCTGTCGGGATGGAATTGCGGTGTCCTTATACGCACAGAATTACAGAGCTCGGGTAACTTGGTGGCGCCGGTTCACCACCGCCTGGCTTGCCTCACGGCTTTTTGCCGTCATTAAGCCGCAGCAGCAGCAGCGGCTTTTGGCTGCTCAGCCGTCGAAAAAAAGTTGGCGGTCGCGCTTCCTGCGGCCGTCTGGAACGCTCTCTTCCTTCCGATACTCGGAAGCCACTGGAGCTATGCACTTTTAAATCGTCTAGATTGACAAACTCACTTCTTTAAAACTGGTTTTTGTGTTTAGTTTGTTGTGCTCCCCCCTCCCGCACCTCCGATTAGTGTGGTTATCTACGTGCGGTGCGATAGAAGTTCAACATACACACATGCATCCATTGTCTGCAGTTTTTCAGCGGTTGTGAGATGCAGCTTGCACGAAGGACGCTATATATCTAAAAACATCCAATATTGTTATTACAGGGGATGTATTCTTTCATTTTAATCTATATTTGTGCAAACATTTGGGATACGCACGTGACACAATTCCTTTTGTTCTGATTTAAATTTGCTTCATCGCTGTACTTTATAGTAGCGTGCTTTGCCTTCGTCATCCAGGTGATACACAGGTCACACACAGGTGACGCACATGTCACTCTTGCGAACGGGACTCGACTCTGGCCTCTTGAGTTCTCACACCTGCTTAAAGCAAACGTCAACTTGAACATAAGTGAGGCTCATAATGGCCATGTCGGAAACGCTGAGATCAACCCTCCCTGAGCTCCTGAGTTTCAAGTCCAGGTAGCGGCACCCTCCTGCTAAAGCGTCTAGAGACTCAGTGATCGCCATTCCATATGCATGTATGTGGTATTAAATATGTTACACTTCTCACCCTAGCGCAAGGTGTTGGAGTGAAAACATCGCCTGCTTGCCACGATGGCAAAGGTAAGCAGAACTCGCGGTTTAATCAACGCACGCCACACCAGGTACTCATTTAAGGCTGTGTTCACCTAGAGGACATGCAGAACAAGGTTTACAATCACTCGCCACTGATGTACGCCGTGGCTGGGAGTCGAACTCGAGACGTTACATTCACAGCGCAGTGCGCATGCCCCACCTCAAACTCACACTCACTCTACCCACGCATCTCCCTCTTACTGCCTTGAGCCAGTGGTGGGAATTCCACGTTAATATTGTGGGGGCAAGTATATCCATTGGACAACCACTGTTGGCTTCCCCATAACGTGGCACTATTGTTTGTGAATTTCATCATAGTTTAGCAGAAAAAATAATTTCACGACGTCAACACCAGCGAGAAACCTTCACAATCACAACACAATATTGCTGCGTGTCTAGATATGGCCAAGAGACAGCCACTAAATATCTAAATATGGGCAAGGAATCACCCACTACATGTCTAGATGTGAACAAGAGACACCCACTACATGTCTAGATGTGGACAAGAGACACCCACTACATGTCTAGATGTGGACAAGAGACACTCACTACATGTCTAGATGTGAACATGAGACACCCACTACATGTCTAGATGTGAACAAGAGACACCCACTACATGTCTAGATGTGAACAATAGACACTCACTACATGTCTAGATGTGGACAAGAGACACCCACTACATGTCTAGATGTGAACAAGAGACACCCACTACATGTCTAGATGTGAACAAGAGACACCCACTACATGTCTAGATGTGAACTAGAGACACCCACTACATGTCTAGATGTGAACAAGAGACACCCACTACATGTCTAGATGTGAACAATAGACACCCACTACATGTCTAGATGTGGACAAGAGACACCCACTACATGTCTAGATGTGGCCAAGGAATCACCTTGTCTAGATGTGGCTAAGGGACAGTCACAACATTTTTTAATAAACATTTTTTGGTAGTTTTCTCCTTTGCAGTAGGCGATATAAATGTCGAGTACGGCATCATCACTGATGATGATTACAATGATGATGAATTACAATGATGATGATGATTAACTTCTCTGACCGTAATCACAGTGGTGGTGGTGGTGGTGGTGATGACACTTGTCAGAGTGATGATGACCGCAATGATAAATTATTTCACACTGATAGTAATCTTAGTGATGATGACGACAATCAAAGTGCTGATGATGATGATGGCGGTAGTGATGACGGTGTGTGGTCACAGCGGTGATGATTAAGATCATAATGAAAATGACGATGATGATAGAGACGATCATAGCGATGACCGTTGACAATCATCAAACTACTGATGATGATAGCTGATGATTTCCCCTCCCCTCGTGTGCTTCGCAGCTGATACCCGCGATGTTCTCATCGTCATCCTCATCTCCCTCGTCATCATCAGCGTCATCGTGATTGTCATCACCTGCTTTCGAGCCCAGAAGCGCAGAGGGAGGGTGATTGGTACGTGACACACAAACACAAACACCCCCCGTATAGCCTTAACATAATGTTGGTGGCAAGTGCTGTTCGCGAATAACATCTATGCACATAGACAGCCACAAGACAATGACCCACCGTATAGCCTTAACAAACTGTAGGGGCAAGTGCTGCTAGCGAGCACCTTTGAAGGCTGGAACGGTACACGAGGGGGTTGGGTGGCCAGCACCACGCCAGGCCGCCTTTGTCTCCCCAGTGGCGATGTTTACACACAAGTACTCTTTTGAGGCTGAGTCGACCTCGGGGAGGCCCAGAACCGGTTCGGATAATCGTCACCGGCGTTGACCGTGAGCGGGAATCGAGCCCAGAGGGGGCTGGGTTCGTAGCGCAGCGTAGCGCTAACCTGCTACACTGCATTATCCCCCCTAGAGTGGATCCACTCGGGAAATCCCACGGTAACTCGCTGCCAGCGATTGTCACCGGCGATGCCATTGGCCATGAGCCGCTATAGCAACTTGGCTGGACAGCGGAATGGAGTGACCAGAGTTCTTGACAGCCAGTCAAAGCACGATGAGAGGTGTGCACGCTGGATAATGATTGGTCTACACTCTAGAGACTGACTAGAGGGCTTCAGGCCAGAGAGAGAGAGTTTAGTTTTGCCGTCCCTTTGCTACTGGAGGGGCTGAAACTTCCACTGGTCGTTGATGCTAGCCGTGACCGGGAATTGAACTCAGGGCGTCGGATTTATAGCGGCACACTCGCGTGCGTGTCTGTGGGTGTGTCTCTGTGTGTGTGAAATAAACGAAGGAGGGCAGCGCGAACTGTCGCTCACGTGCAAGCCAGCAGCCGCCGCCTCGGTAACGCAATCGCGGAAATTGCCAAAGTGAAGTGCGCCCGGGGTGACGTCGATCACGCGGTGCCGGGAAACAATACTCTCGATGTGCCTTTTTTTGGGGGGGAGGGGAGGGTGGGGGGTCGTATATATAGAGAGGAAGAAAAAAAACCACCCCAGCAATATATATGGATACAAAACACAGGGCCACATGTTCTTTGGTTCTTTCGGTAAAGTCACGTAGAATGAGAATAAAATAATAAATTGATAAAATAAAATAACACAATAAAATTCTCACGACGTTTCATTCGTTCTATTCTCATTCTACGTGACTTCACCGAAAGAACCAAAGAAGATGAATCCTTGCAGTCACGAAAGCTTTAAATCGAGACAGGGCCACATGTCTCCTTAGTGTGACTCGATTATAATTGCTTGCAGAACAGACGTGGTAAAAACAACAACAACAACAAACACACTCAGACCTCCACACACGTGGTCGTTTCGACTGCTGCGAGAACTGCCGTTAGTGAGCAGACATTGAGGCCGCCATGGTGTATGGGGGTGTTGGTGTGGTCAGTACCATGCTGCCTGCCCTGGGGGCAGTCCATAAATGACGTCACGCACCTGGAGAGGGGCGGGGGGGGTGAAACATTTGTGACGATGTGTGACGAGGAGGGGGGAGGGGGGTTGAGAAATGTGACGTCACATCAAAATGCGCAACTTTAAATAAATATATACAACACGTTCTACTTCATTAAATAGACTTTTTAACAACATCAGAGTGCAGCGCCACATAAAAAAACGCACTACAATGACAATAGTCAATAGTTTAAAGCGATTTGAAGCATGTTTTATTTTTTTGGCGGGGGAGGCAGAGCTTTGTGACGTCATATTTGAGGGGGGGTCTGGCTTTTTGTTACGCCGTGTGACCGGGGGGGGGGTCAAAAATCGTCCAAAATCGCGTGACGTCATATATGGACGGCCCCCTGGCCACCTTTGTCTCCCCCCCACCCACCCACGAATGCTGATGCGTATTTATGCACCACAGCAGATACTTACTTCAGGCTGAGTTAACCTCGAGGATGCCCAGACCATTTATGATATCACTCGCCACTGATGATAGCTGTGTCCGGGAATCGCATATTCGGGTCCGCTGGGTTCTTAGCGTAATGCGCTATCCACTGCTACACTGCTCCACCCCAACTCAGTGAATTTAATCGCCTAAACAAAAGTGCGATGACGCCTGACATGAAGATGGCCCGTTATCCGAAATGTCGCCTAATTCATTTTAGGGCAATTCTATGGACCAATGTATATATATATTTTTTTATTGTTGTTAATACTATACTAAGGGTCGCTACAACATCGACTTTCACGATGCGACGCTATTAACTATTGTATTCTTGCGTATGATGGCAGCAATTATGAAATGCCAGGGTCGCGATGTGCCGCTGGCAGCAATGAGAGGGACTTGAGCAGAGTTTCATAGTTTAATTTATTTTGGTATAGCCCTGTGAGCCATTCGGCTCTTGAATCGAGTGCAACCGCAACAAAAAAAAATACAAAAACACGAACAAGAAAACATCTTAAAGTGACTTTGTGTGACTGTGCAAACAGAAAATCCAGTTAAAAAACATCAAAATATTCCTGAAATAGCACCGTACACCAACGCTGTGTGCAAAAATCCCAGTGGGATGCAAGTCAAACAACAACAACAACAAGAAGAAAACAACAAGAAAACTTAGATTAAGAGAGAGAGAGAGAGTTCGTGTAGCTATGCTACTCCTCCGTTGAAGGAACGCACGTGACACTAACTTGACGATGTTGCAAATCATCCTGAGAAGTTTCCCTAAACGTTTGCAATTGTATTTCAGATTTTTGTCGGCTTCTTCTTGTAAATCTTGACTTAAGGCTTTCGTGTCTGCAGGAATTCATATTCCGTGGGTCTGTCGGCAATGTCACGTAGATAGGTTCAAATAAATAACAAAAAAACTACAGATGGTGCCCAGAATGCATTTTGACGACCGCTTGTGTTGCGATTGAAACGTCGTAGTTTTTTTTGTTATTTTTTGTTATTTCGTTGAACCTATCTGCGTGACCTTACCGAAAGACCCAAATAATAATCATAATATGTTTGTACTTTGCTGTGCCTCCCTTGGGAATTAGAGATCGTTCAGTATTTCCTTCACATGTAGTTCACTCGACACGAGGCCGCTGTGAGTTTCCCTAAGCGAAGTAACGGTACATCTGTAACGCTCATAGCGCGCAATGCCATGGTGCCCACAATGCAGATGGGGCCCGCAATGCGATGGTGCCCACAATGCAGAAGGTGCCCACAATGCAGATGGTCTTCTTGGGTTCTTTCGGTAAAGTCACGTAGAATGAGAATAAAATAATAAAAAATAAAACAATACAATTCTCACGACGTTTCGGCCACAACACAAGTGGCCTTCTTCCGGTGAAAGGAACAAACCTGTCGGAACGACAGAGATACAGAAGATGAATCCTTGCAGTCACGAAAGCTTTAAATCGAAATGCAGAAGGTGCCTACAATGCAGATAGTGCCCACACTGCGATGGTGACTGCAATGCAGATGGCACGGAGTACTCGACATGCCGTCAATTACTGCAAGGACACGTTACACTCGGCACTAATGTTACAGACTTGCGCGTCTTTCAATTCGAATTGCTGCCGTGAACTCCCGCTGGTTTTTAATTGCATGCATTTTTTTGTCGGGAAATGAAATATGCAAAATGCAACGGTGAAACGATGGTCACGAGACAGTGATACAAATATTTTTTTGATACGGCGCCAGAAGTCTACATCACATCCCATGTGATGTAGACTTGTGGGTTTACTCTCCAACACACCGGTGTGCTGCTGAAGGAGTAAATAATTGGCACGTGTTTTGTTTACGTGACAAACCCTCACTGATTGGCTGTGTCGGGTGGTGGCGAGTTTAACCACACATTTATATTTACGCGATATAAATCTCTCCCCCCCCCCCTCCCTCGATTATGGATATTGGTCGCGAAAGCTTGCTACGTGTTAGACCGGCATCAGTCTGCCAGTAGGGGGTAATGATAGCTATGTACAGTCCCAATAATGCAATCTGCGGTGTGATTTCATCATTAGCACACCAACGATGGGCTACCCCTTACGAATTACGGTGAAGCAGGTAAGCATGCGTTCCGCATCTTTTCGCACGATTATATATTAGTATGCACTAACCGGGGCGACCGCTGGATTTGAACCGTGAATCCTCTGTGACCCAATCGGCGAACGCCGTGCAACTGGGCCAACGTTCGCATTGAGGCGTCGCCACACCGCGTCGATCTTGAACCCAGGCGGGTGCAGCGCCTGCCTTAGAGGGAGGTTAACTTTCTCCCTGACCAACACCGTCGCACGCAATTTGCTGTGCATTGATCTCGCGTGTGCGTCTCTTGTGTTTTGCAGAACGGGAGATGAGCAACATTCAGAGGTGAGGTTCATTCAAAATAAATTCGCTTCAAAAGCATTGTTTTTTGGAAAATTTACTTTTGAACAGAGATGTAATGAGCATATTAGATTCGTTTTAAGTATGAGGAATGTCTTCGCTTATGCAAATAAATAAGGGAAGTGGTGGTGCGGTGGTTAGCGCAGTCCTAACCACTGCACCACCACATACATGGGTTCTATTCACAGCTAAGACTAACCTCATAAATCTATCTGTGTGGGGCTTGAGCATCACCCCCTCGTGAGTGAGGTGGCTTTCCACTGGGTTCTCTGCTCTCCTTCTCAAGATAAATCCCTCCCCCCCCCCCCACTGCTCCCCGACATACATTGGAACTGGTATTGGCCGTAACATCCAAATAGTTGAAACATTACCTGCAAATTACTCAATTGGCATTACACATGGGCAGCATCACTCCCAACTTCCACGACAACATGGCAGGACCCCCCCTCAAAGATAAATCTTGAGAATTGGCGAGAATTTCCCGGGCGAAAATACACAGGAAAAAAGGAGATACAATTAAATTAGGGGCTATCCCTTCGTATGGGTGAAAAGTGCCCAACGACCCTTGGCGATCGCGTCCGTGAGAGGCGGTGCGCGCAGACAGCCCTAGAGATTTGTTGAAGCGAAAGCGCTCGCGATAATAAATATTAAAAACAAGCCGGCCGTGTCCGCGGAGGTTGGGCCAGACCGCGGCTTCTCTCTCGCCAGCGACTTACAACTTCCTCCTGCGCTCACAGGGAACGGGGGAAGATGGGATGTGGGGGAGAGATGGAGAGGGGCTGATGGGACGTGGGGGTGAGATGGAGAGGGGGTGATGGGATTTGGGGGTGAGATGGAGAGGGGATGATGGGATGTGGGGGAGAGATGGAGAGGGGGTGATGGGATGTGGGGGTGAGATGGAGAGGGGGTGATGGGATGTGGGGGTGAGATGGAGAGGGGCTGATGGGACGTGGGGGAGAGATGGAGAGGGGGTGATGGGATTTGGGGGTGAGATGGAGAGGGGGTGATGGGATGTGGGGGAGAGATGGAGAGGGGGTGATGGGACGTGGGGGAGAGATGGAGAGGGGCTGATGGGACGTGGGGGTGAGATGGAGAGGGGGTGATGGGACGTGGGGGAGAGATGGAGAGGGGCTGATGGGACGTGGGGGAGAGATGGAGAGGGGGTGATGGGACGTGGGGGTGAGATGGAGAGGGGCTGATGGGACGTGGGGGTGAGATGGAGAGGGGGTGATGGGAGGTGGGGGAGAGATGGAGAGGGGGTGATGGGACGTGGGGGAGAGATGGAGAGGGGGTGATGGGACGTGGGGGTGAGATGGAGAGGGGCTGATGGGACGTGGGGGTGAGATGGAGAGGGGAGGGGGTGATGGGATGTGGGGGAGAGATGGAGAGGGGGTGATGGGATGTGGGGGTGAGATGGAGAGGGGGTGATGGGACGTGGGGGGTGAGATGGAGAGGGGGTGATGGGATGTGGGGGAGAGATGGAGAGGGGCTGATGGGACGTGGGGGAGAGATGGAGAGGGGCTGATGGGACGTGGGGGTGAGATGGAGAGGGGGTGAGGGGATGTGGGGGAGAGATGGAGAGGGGGTGATGGGATGTGGGGGTGAGATGGAGAGGGGGTGATGGGACGTGGGGGTGAGATGGAGAGGGGCTGATGGGACGTGGGGGAGAGATGGAGAGGGGGTCATGGGATGTGGGGGAGAGATGGAGAGGGGGTGATGGGATGTGTGGGAGAGATGGAAAGGGGGTGATGGGATGTGGGGGAAATATGGAAAGGGGGTGATGGGACGTGGGGGTGAGATGGAGAGGGGCTGATGGGACGTGGGGGTGAGATGGAGAGGGGGTGATGGGATGTGGGGGAGAGATGGAGAGGGGGTGATGGGACGTGGGGGAGAGATGGAGAGGGGGTGATGGGACGTGGGGGTGAGATGGAGAGGGGCTGATGGGACGTGGGGGTGAGATGGAGAGGGGGTGATGGGATGTGGGGGAGAGATGGAGAGGGGCTTATGGGACGTGGGGGAGAGATGGAGAGGGGCTGATGGGACGTGGGGGTGAGATGGAGAGGGGGTGATGGGATGTGGGGGAGAGATGGAGAGGGGGTGATGGGATGTGGGGGTGAGATGGAGAGGGGGTGATGGGACGTGGGGGTGAGATGGAGAGGGGCTGATGGGATGTGGGGGAGAGATGGAGAGGGGGTCATGGGATGTGGGGGAGAGATGGAGAGGGGGTGATGGGATGTGTGGGAGAGATGGAAAGGGGGTGATGGGATGTGGGGGAAATATGGAAAGGGGGTAATGGGGAGATGGGAGGGGAGAGATAGAGGGGTGATGGGGAGATGCGATGGGTGGCTGTCTGTGGTTAATCCGGGTTCTCAGTGGAGTGAGTTGATAGTCTCAGCCTGGTCACCAATAACTGCACAATACACCCCCGCTGCATTACATTTGTTTCTGCACTTAGTTTGGCTAAATTCCAGCTGTCAAGATGTCAATTTCGGTTTGACCGTCACGCGAATAACACATTACTCACATGTAGAGCGGCTGAGAAGGTGCTGCTACCTCATATACTGTGTGAACAGGAGGCCACTTTGAGGGAAATGCAGAATCATTCTGTGGATATCCACTTCTACGGGTCATTATCGAACTTTGGGGTGGGGGGTGGGGACACAACCGCTGGGCAATCAAGAGTTACAAATTGACATTCACTGGGGTCAAACGTGGTAGAAACAAAGACGAAAAAAATAAAATAAAACGGATCTTCGCAGTCCTGCTCGGAGGTTTCATCTCGCGTCTCCGGTTCCCGTCGGGAGACGAACTCCGCTCCGGGTTTCCATCCCCCGATTAGCCGTGACACTCCACCCCGATATGTCGGGCGAGTCGATGCAACCAACGGTCGCGGTTCGGTGTGGGGGGGTGGGGGTGGGTTTCGCGATTCCATTCAAGAGTCGATGATGTTGATGATGTTGATGATGATGTTGATGTGTTCTTCAGTTATTTTGGGTTTGCGCTCGCGCACCGCCGTCGATGCAGCCTCTTGATGGTTCTACTCTGAGGTTCTTTCGGTAAAGTCACGTCGATAGGAAAATCAATCAATAAATAATACATCACGACGTTTCGATCGCGACAACAAGCGGTCGTCCGGAGGTGAAAGAGAGAAACGTGCCTCTGTGACGAGGCATTATATAGAGGGCGGAGGGGGGGAGGGGGGGCCTCTGTGACGAGGCATTATATAGAGGGGGGAGGGGAGGAGGGGAGGCCACAAAGGGGCGAGAGGGTGGGGATAACATTCAAAGAGGGCTTGGGTGAAAGAGAGCAAAGTAATGTGACAAGAAAGCTGAGCTATCAAACTTAACAAAATTTAGAAATGTAATGCAACTCAGAGAGTCGGCTAACACAACAGTTAACACCTTACCTGGTTGATCAACGTCCTTCCAAAGATTGCTCAATTTTGCATCCATCTTCCCGGTTGAGGAAATGTCCGGAGGCGGTTCAATCTTGATTAGAGGCTCTCGTGACTGCAGGATTTCACACTCTTGGGTTCTTTCGGTAAAGTCAGGTAGATAGGGAAATAAATAAATAATAGATCACCGACGTTTCGATCGCAACATACAAGCGATCGTCCTCAGGTGAAAGAGAGATGGTTCTATGTTGTTGTTGTTGTTGAATTCCTCCACTGGGCGGCAGCATTGGGACCGAGTGCGCGCGACGGCCTAACCAGAACTCGTGTTGGGGGGACGAGAACTCCGTTGAGTTTTGTGAGGATTTTCTGCCGTCAACCACGCGAATGTGGCAGTAGTTCTGCAATAACCCTTTCCGCGGGCTGTTCTCTAACACTGAGCGATGCACTGCCCGGCAAGGGTTCAGAATGGACAAGCTGACGTGACACCGACACGGGTAAAAATTTGACAAATTACAAATATTAATGAAAAAAAAAATCACATTAAGATGGTCATCTTATGGATATGTCTGTATGTTGAACTTCTTTCGCACCGTAGGTAGCCAAACGTGCTAATCGGAGTTGCGGAGGAAGGACAACAAACCAAACACAAGCAGTTCTGAAGAAATTCGTTTTCAGTCTGTATGAATTAAAAGTGCATCGCTCCAGTGGCCTCCTAATATCGGAAGGAAGAGCGTTCCAGACGGCCGCAGAAGCGCATCTGAAAGCGCGCGATGCGGTGACCACCGTCTTTGTTCGATGGTCAGGATAAACTGACCTCTGCCACGGGAATATGGAATTTCAACCACTGGCTTTCAATTCACCAAAGGAAGACGCACGCCACTCCACACTCGTACGATCAGCGCGTACTGTGACGAGTCATCGTCTCCTCACGTGTCCCAGCTCATTCCAAACCCCTCCTGTCTCCCTCTCCTCCTTCTCACAGCCCCACGTCTGCACAAGTGATGTCCCCAGACTCAGACATGCCTGTGTTCGACTTCGAGTACCAGCCCGGGCTTCAGGGAGGGGTCTTCCCCCGGCCAAGTCCTCTGCGTGAGTCACACAAACACACTTAGGCAAAGATCCCCCGTATAGTCTACACAGACTATTGGGGCAAGTTCCCCACTGATTTATCTCCCCTTATATGCACACGGTTCACATTTCAGGCAGAGTCAATCTATGGGACAGCCAAGACTGGTTCAGATATTCTCGACTGATGTTTCAGCATCAGTTTATGTGTATATATACTGGAAGAATCCGATGAGCTATAAAGCTCTTGTTCACAGATGTCCAGTAGGGGCGGGTCAGAACAAACAATACAAAAGCAACGATAGTAGTGCAAAGTATAAGATAGGTCAACAAATCACTTCAAAAAGAATATATACAAATACAACGAAACGTATGTTTTATCTTACCCATTAAAGCACGCTCAGCTATTAGCTTATTTTTTTTTAGAAGCGACCCAGCCACCCACAAATGATAGCTAGCTCGGCAGCGATTCCCAGAGCCCCCCGACCCCGAAGGTTAACGGGCCTCTCAGGGCCAATGCAAAGCGGCTGAGATACACGGGGAGCGAGACAGGCAGATCAGCGGGAATGCGAAAGGGGGGTGTGATCAGGAGTGCCGAGTGGTTGAGTGCGAGCGTGGTGTGCGCGCGTGGCCACAGAGTCGAGCCTTGACGAGGAGGTGTTCACGGACGAGCACGACAACGTCGCCTCCACGCTGCAACTCTACAGCGTCTAGGCAACTGCGGAGGCCACTTGATGCAACTTTTCCCGCACCTCCCCATCAGCACGGTTGGCTACGTACGCTGCGAAAGAAGTTTGACATGCATGCAATTCGACGCAAACGCCGGGTAACTCGATACGGCTACGGGGAATCCGGTGCAGCTTCGGGGTAACTCGATGCAACTCAACGTGGCTCGACGCAACTTCCCGGGGGCAACTCGATACGACTCCAGGCAACTCGGCGTCCCTCCTAGTAATCTGACGCAACTCGACACGACTCAAAGCAATCCTGGGAAACGCAGTTAAACTCCAAGCAACTACGGGGAACTTGACGCAACTCCAGGCAACTTCACACAACTTTGGGGAACTCAGTGTAACTCAGCACAACTCAACGTGCCTCCTGGATATTAAATGCAACTTGACGCAACTCTGGGCAACTCAACGCAACTCTGGACAACTCGACGAAACTCTGGACAAGTTGACGCAACTCCAGGCAGCTACAAGTGAACGATCAGTGAAATTGCAGGTCACTCATTGCATTTGTTGAATAAATCCAGTCAACTCAATAAAACTTTACATGGCGCATTGCCATTCTGTGTAACTTGATCCAGCTTAGCTTTAAGAGACTCAATGCAACCACACACAACTTGATGTAAAGCGTTAAAACAAACTCGGATACACGCGATTTCGTGAAACGTTAGACATCGTAATGCAGGTGCAGGTAATTGAAGGAATCCAAGCAACTCAGGGCAACTCTGAGTGGCCCAGTGTAATTCTAGGCAAATTGATAGAATACAATTTACATCAACCCCACGGGGATTCAGGAAAACAAACCCAAAATCTGGACGACACCGTGCCACCTCGGGCAACGAGTCACGTCTCCACGCAGCTCAACGCAACGTCAGGCGACTCAACGCAACTCCGGACAACCAAACACAACTCCGAACAACTTAGGTGCAACTCTCAATTTAACGTCGTGGTGCATATCCGGGCAACTCGCCCAACTCCGGGCAACGCAGTGCCACTCGGGAGACAAAGGCAGTCGGGCGTAGTGCTGGCGACCCACCCCATCGAGTGCCATTCTGGCCTTCATAGGTGGCTCGCTAACAGCACTTGCCCCAACAGTCTGTTAAGGCTTTACGGGGGATCTTCGTCTTTGTTTGTGTGTGTGCACTTGCCCTAAAAATATGTTAAGGATATAGGGGGGGTGACCTTTGTCTTTGTGTGTGTCTGTGTTTTTTTGTGAGTGTGTGTGTATTAAGATCCTGAGACACGATCTCCCTGTGTCTCAAAACCCCGAGAATCAGGACTCTGAGACCTGGTCTCCCTTAGTCTGTATAGGCAGTCTATAGCCTGTAATCTTCTTTACTTTTTATTTTAATTTACTGTTATTGACGCACGTGTTGAATTTTTTTAAAAAACGATTTATACAGACCATCATTTGAATGTTTTTGTTTATCAATAAAATAAACTTAGTGCGTTGGACAGCATACACAGCCTTGTGTCTACACTTGTGTCCACACGGTCAGCTGCTTGTGTTCAGGTTATTTTTTTTCCTTTAGCCGACAGATTTGTAAATGACATTGATACGCTCGGGCAGCCTTAGGGCAACCGTCAACGGCAACGTACGTGTGGTGAACGTCTTCCGTACGTAGCCAACCGTGTCAATAGGAGGTGCGGGCGAAGGACAAACAAGCTAAACACGAAAAAGTGTGCTCTGAATACATTATTTTTCGATCTAGATTTGGGTGATAAATCTGACCTCTCTTCCCCCCAAGTGGCCAACCGAGATGGCAACTTCCAATCAGAATAAAAAAACACAGCGGTCACGTGACTGCCCGAGGTTGTGCCAATCAATCACTGTTCACCGAACACGGTGATTGATTGGCCCTAGTTCACCGAACACGGTGAACTGCCCCCCCCCCCCACCCCCGATGATAAGATAACAAACTCTGACACTCCAACGCCACTGCCATTCTGTAACCACTTGGCCACAGCTGACGGCTCTCGTAGCACATGCGGTGGGGCCCGCGAGGATTTACATCAATTTTGCCCGAGAGTACCAGGGTGTGGTTTGTTGTTGTTGTTGTTGTTTTTTTTGACAAGGTGCGGCTCCCCACGCCGGTGAACCTCGTTCGGGATACCCTTTGAAGTTCAGTTTGTGAAACGCTCCTTTCTCTCAAGCGCGCATTGAGAATGAGCAGGAGCCCGCACAAAACAAAGACGCAGATCCCCCGTATAGCCTGCAACAGACTGTTGGGGCAAGTGCTGTTAGCGAGCGCCGGTGAAGGCCGGCACGGCACACGAGGGGGTGGTTGGGCAACACTACGCCCGGCCGCCTTTGTCTCCCTCGTGGCAATGTTTTTTACACGCCACACCAGGTACTCAATTGAGGCTGAGTCGACCTAGGGGAGGCCCAGGACCGGTTGAGAAAATCGGAGCGCACACAGACACGCACACAAAAGACAAAGATCCCCCGTATAGCCTTAACAGACTGTAGGGGCAAGTGCTGTTAGCGAGCACCTATGAAGGCCGGAACAGTACACGAGGGGGTGGGTGGCCAGCACCACGCCCGACCGCCTCAGTCTCCCCAGTGGCGATGTTTTTTTATCCACCGCACCAGGTACTCATTTGAGGCTGAGTCGACCTAGGGGAGGCCCAGGACCGGTTCAGATAATCGTCACTGGTGTTGGCTGTGAGCGGGAATCGAACCCGTGTCGCCGGGTTCATAGCGCAGCGTGCTAACCGCTACACTATCGCTCCCCACACACGCACACGCACACAGACACGCACACACACGCACACAGACACGCGCACACACACGCACACAGACACGCACACACACGCACACAGACACGCACACACACACACACACGCACCTTAATCAAGGGCGACCTGCGTGACGGATTGTATTTAGTGTAAGTATTGTTGAAGAAGTGAAACTTATGAACATCATGAAAATATCGAAATTGTAAAAAATATACACTTATCATTCATGGACTTGTGCTGATCGCCGGTTGTCAGAGTGGCATGCGGAAACCTCCTCTCACGACAAGGCATCGGGAAGAAAATACATAAATTTTGTGATTTAGTTTTGGGAAGGCAAAACATTTTCATTGAGCAAAAAATATCCCTGCTCAAACAGATCAAGAAATATATTAAATTCTTCAATTTGTATTATTTTAAATACATTTACGTACAACAATGTGAATGAGAATATGGGAATGGTTTTATTTATTTATACTACTTTGCATAATTTTCTTCCTCTTCCTATCAACGGTCAAAGCAAAACGCGAACAACAACAAAAATGTATAATCTCTGCCGTGACGATGCTTTGTGTTCTCGGATGAAATAGAGCGTCGACCACTATGAAATTACCTATCGTGTCATAGCCTTGAGCATTTCAAAAACATAGATATATAACGCTTGATAATAGGTTTTCCCCCTTTTATCTGGCAATAAAACAGATGTTGAGATATTCTTGGTTCTTTCGGTAAAGTCACGTAGAAGGGAAACAATAAAATAACATAAATATAAAACAATACAATTTTCACGACGTTTCTACTGCAACACCTGATGATGATTGCTTGTGTTGCAGTTGAAACGTCGTGAGAATTGTATTGTTTTATATTTTGATTATTTTATTGTTTCCCTTCTACGTGACTTTACCGAAAGAACTAAGAATATGAATCCCCGCAGTCACGAAAGCTTTAAATCAGGTGTTAAGATGTTAAAACACCAAACTGAAACCTTTAACAAGGAATCATGTTACATTAACCACAATGCTTGTGGTCAGAATGCAAACAAAAAAATACTCTGATAATATATGCATTGTCCTTGAGACAGCTTTTGGCGTCCTCTGGTCTAACACCGTTTGAGACGAAGAAAGCTGTCTCTGATGTGGACCAATCAGTTTCAAGGACAATGCATATATTATCAGAGTACGTTTTTTTGTTTGCATTCTGACCACGAGTATTGCGGTTAATGCAGACATGATTCCTTGTAAAAGGTTTCAGTTTGGTGTTTTAACATCTTAACACAGCTGTTTTGTTGCCAGATAAAAGGGGAAAAACCTATTATCATATCTTGGTACTGGCAAAGGAGGTCCCATGATGTATAACGCTTGTTTAAGTGCACAATAAAATGCCCTGCCCCGTGACTCCCCCTCCCCCCACCGCGTACCCCGCGTACCGTGGTTGTTATTTTGTTGTTTTGTTATGCTGGTGTCTCCACATCGTTCACGAGCGCGTGCGCAGCCATCGCCGCACGGCGCCCGCAACGCGCGCGGAGTTGCGAGCGCCGTCTTTAGGAGCGGCGCAGAGCCATTCAAAGTTGTCGCTTTGTGGAATTAAAATAAAATAAAACATTTCAAGCATTTTATACCGTTTCATTAACAACAACAACAACAACAACTATAAATAATGCCATCTCCAAAGTGTATATTAACGTTTCGGAACGCACGCACACACACACACACGAAGCTAATGCTTGCACATCAACGTTTTTAGCCGGGCTACGATGGGCTGCACTTGTGATATAAAGGCCATGATCCAACCGCCGGGTGGCCATCACAGAGTGGTTTGGCTCCGCTTCTTGACTGCCATATCCTACACCGAACGTATCTCTTTACACCTGACCTCCCACCGCGTAGGGCAGTGATTCTTAACCGGGGGGATACACGGAACCCTTGGGGGTTACGTGGCAATGCCCCAAGGGGGTACGCGAGGTGATTTATAAACGTGTGATATTACAGTGAGGGAAAAACGTATTTGATCCCCTGCTGATTTTGTACGTTTGCCCACTGACAAAGAAATGATCAGTATATCATTTAAAGGGTAGGTTTATTTGAACAGTGAGAGAGAATAACAACAAAAAAATCCGGAAAAATGCATGTCAAAAATGTTATATATTGATTTGCATTTTAATGAGGGAAATAAATATTTGACCTCTCTGCAAAACATGACTTAGTACTTGGTGGCAAAACCCTTGTTGGCAATCACAGAGGTCAGACGTTTCTTGTAGTTGGCCACCAGGTTTGCACACATCTCAGGAGGGATTTTGTCCCACTCCTCTTTGCAGATCTTCTCCAAGTCATTAAGGTTTCGGCTGACGTTTGGCAACTCGAACCTTCAGCTCCCTCCACAGATTTTCTATGGGATTAAGGTCTGGAGACTGGCTAGGCCACTCCAGGACCTTAATGTGCTTCTTCTTGAGCCACTCCTTTGTTGCCTTGGCCGTGTGTTTTGGGTCATTGTCATGCTGGAATACCCATCCACGACCCATTTTCAATGCCCTAGCTGAGAGAAGGAGGTTCTCACCAAATATTTGACGGTACATGGCCCCGTTCATCGTCCCTTTGATGCGGTGAAGTTGTCCTGTCCCCTTAGCAGAAAAACACCCCCAAAGCATAATGTTTCCACCTCCATGTTTGACGGTGGGGATGGTG